AAGGCTAAAACACCTTCAAACATCAGGGAATTAAGATCGTTCCTTGGTATGACTAACTACCCCCGTAAGTTTATAGATAACTATGCAGAAATAACTAAACCACTCTTACACCTGCTTAAAAAGGAAACTACCTGGAACTGGGGGGAGCCTCAGGACCAAGCGGTAAGTGAACTGAGGAGGAAGCTCACTCAGGCACCCTGTTTAGCATACCCAGAGGGGGGTAAACCCTTCTATCTGGAGACAGGATATACCGATTTAAGCATAAGTGCTGTTTTGTATCAGAAGCAGGACAGTTTAAACAAAGTTATTGCATATGCTAGTAAGACTTTGTCACCTGTTGAAGTTAAATTCAACACGTGTGAGAAGGCGTTATTGTCGACTGTCTGGGCACTACAAAATTTTCGTAGCTATATCCAAGGTGAGAAAATAATTGTAGAAACAGCTCACCAACCTCTACAGTATCTGCATAGTGAAAGAATTAGAGACGGTAATCTCTCTAACAGTCGGATTACTGCATGGACTCTATCCTTACAGGGATGGCTGTTAGAAGTCCGTTATAAACATAATAAGAGAAGCCCAGTTGCCCAAGGTTTAGCAGAATTACATGACTGTACTGCTCCATCTCTGAATGATAATGACACCGGAGATGACTTCCTAGAAGAGCAATTGCTATCTCCTTATAAAGTTTATGACGAGGAATACTGTCGACCACTACCGTGGGTATACATTGATGGTTGTTCATATCACCACATCGTTGGTGCTGAACGGAAGTTAGTTGCAGGTATCGGAATCGCCTGGACAGGTGATTATCCCAATGTATCTATAGGATACAATATTGGTCCCAAAAGCAGTCAGATAGCCGAACTCTGTGCAGTATATAAGACCATTAAAATGGCAATAGAATATGGTATCAAAGAATTTGTTATTATAACTGATTCCAACTATGTTCGCAACAGTTTCGTCGAATATCTGCCTAGCTGGAAACGTAACCAAATGCTGAAAAGCAATAACAAACCTGTTAAACATGGGAAATTGTTTTGTAAAATTGATGAGTTGGTTAAGGAAAATGGTTTAACCATATATTGGAAGAAAACCAAAGGCCATTCTAAAATAGAAGGTATTGACAAGGATGGTAATGACCTAGCCGATTCACTGGCAAAACAAGCTGCCATCAATGGTGAAACCCTAAACATTGATGATCTTATGGGTTCAATTCATGTTGAAGCCATAACTAGACGACAGGCTAGAGATACTGCCGACTTAAATGTTGTGCAATGGAGCCAAGAAGCTCCTAGTGAGGACCTGATTACTAGTCAAAAGAATGATCCCGTCATAGGCATATTCTATAGACATATAGAAGACCCTACTGCCAATCCCATCACAGATGAGGATCGCAAAGATAATGAAGATTTACGAATCTTGATGAGATATAAAGTCCAATTTAGTATCATGGATGGGTTACTGGTCAGAACTTCTAAACATGGTATACAACAATGGGTAGTCCCAACTGTATACAGAGGGTTAATGCTCCAACACGCACACGATGCACCTACATCTGGGCATCGTGGTGATAAGATCACATATGAGATATTGCGTGATTATGCATATTGGCCACACATGTTAAGGGATGTTAAGACATACTGTCAGGGATGCTTGATTTGTCCGCAATATCAACCCCATGGTCCAACCCATCGTGCACCACTTCAGAAGAGGGGGGTGTCATTACCCTGGTCTGATATTCAAATTGACTTTATAGGTCCTGTAACAAGATCTTCAAGAGGTAACAAATACATGTTAACCGTTACATGTATGTACACAAAGTGGATAGAATGTTTGCCTTGTAAAGAGAACACGAGTACCGTGTGCGCCACTTTGTTGATTAACCATGTCTTTTCCAGGTTCGGTCTGCCTCAAAGAATCGAGTCAGACAGAGGTAGTCATTTTACCAGCGAAGTAATGGCTAAGATGTGGAACATTCTAGGTGTTAAACGAAAGCTACATATTGCATACCGCGCTGCGTCTAGCGGGGGGGTAGAGCGATATAACCAGTCTATCGTTAATATTCTGAAGAAGTATGTTAAGGAGTCTGGTAAAGACTGGGACATTAAATTGCCCCTAGTTTTAATGGCGATTAGAGCTACACCTAGCACTGCTACCAAATTGTCACCTTTTGAATTGATGACAGGAAGAAAGATGGTTTTACCACAGCATTTACTATATCGTACTTCGGATCATAACTTGATCAATGCTGCCACTACGCATCAGTATATCGAAGATTTGCGCAAGCATTTACAGCATGCATTTGCTTTTGCCCAAAAGAATCTAGAAAAAGCAGCGACAGGGGTTAAGACCTATTACGATTTAAAAACCACGAAAAAGGAATATGAGATAACAGATCAAGTCTATCTGTATAACTTTGCGCGAAATCAAGTTAAGGAAAATAAATTTTTACCTTCTTGGAAAGGGCCATATGTCATTATTGACAAAATTTCCCCAGTAGCGTATAAGATAAAAATTCCTAAGGATGGTGATTTTATTGAAAAGTGGGTTCACATTAACCAGTTGCGTGCTTGTCATCCTAAATCTCAATTAAGGATTATAGGTGTGGATTCGGACGCAGAAGGGTGAACGACTAACCTGGATGAATGCTTGATTCACGTGGTATAGTATGATGTGAAATGTTGTGATGTGCCATGATCTCATGTACGTTCATGTCATTAACCATTTCCTTGCCATCCAATAACTACATTTTATAAGCAGGTTACTAGCTTGTTTAACTGCTATAGGCAAATTGCTGAAGAGTCAGTAATAAATGTAGTGAGGGATGAAGTTATAAAAATAGAATTAGACAGAATACATATGTTGATGAATCGTAATAATGTGTTGTCCTAGGCCAAGTGATGTCACACTGTTATAAGTTTGTATGCTTAACAAACCTTGAATCATTAGTAGATAAGTCTGAAACGAGTTCCTGATCCGTGACTGTCGAAGGATGTCCAAGAAGGATGTGGCGTGTTTCTGGATCGTACTGCTCCTGTGCCAAGAGCTACGGACCGACCCGATCGCAGAGATGGGACCATCCTCCGGCATCCTGATTCAAGAGACACCAGGGTTCATCTTAACAGAGAAGAGGATCCTGACCAGACGTGTGTTCGTCAGCTTGGACCCCAAGATTTCCATCGAGAAGGCATACAACATTTCATCGATGCAGCTTCCTGAGTTACAGACTTGGTACCAGATGCACCTCCAAAGAGCACAGGACCGTGTGCGAAACATCTTGGAGCAAGCCCGGAAACCATTTGTATCCAGTTCTATTCCGATGAGCAACCGACCCAAAAGGTTCCTCACCGCTATAATTGTTGCATTAGTTTGTGCCACTGTCGGTGCAGTTGTCGCAACTGGAATGTCTGCAGCCAACTCTATTACTGTCCAAAAGCTGGATATGGAAATCTATGCGCTAAAGCAACACATTAACGATATTCATCAGGTGATACAACAGCAAAGAACACTTCTCCAAGACGTGTTAACTATTGTGGAAGACACAGTTGTTACAACAAATTTGCATTCGGAATTAATTGCCAAATCCACTGAGTTGCACCAAAGTCATGACTTATTTAAGCGTGAACTTTTATTTCTGCATGACCCAATATTGTTCCACACACTTGCTTTTCTCGACGAAGTGCAAACTGGAATGATCGAATTGGCAGGGGGACGCATACCTCTGTATTTTGTATCCAAGGATATTGTTCATGCGATGCTTGCCAATGTGGATGGAGAGACAATTGAGCCTATGCAATTAAATCTGGCCTTCGAGATGGGGAGCGCTATACCTCTCTTAATTGATCCGGAACGTATGGAGATTTGCTTTTTTTATTGACCATACCATATGTAACTCCCAAAGACATTTTTCAAATGAAAACAATGTACTATGTAATAATGATATTATGGTTGATTGTACTAAATGTAAAGTTCAAAACTTTTACAGGTACAAATATACACAAAAATGTTCATTCCACGCATGTACTATGTTAGAAATGATGTGATTGCACAATATGTCTGATAACTTCTATAGTGCTTATTCATAAGCTAAATTAATTTTGGCTATGAAATGCACTAAAGGGGGGTTATGTCAGAGTATTTATATCGGCAGATATTTTGTGCTATGATAGAAACTAAAAGTGTATATTCTGAGTCACTCTGAACAGACCAGACTCCATTTTGTTATTCCAAGTTAACAAAGACAAAGAGACACTATATTTCTATCTGTAAGCTAACCACTTTCCCAGATCTGAGGAATGCATAGTATATACAAACAAGTGATAAGGAAGGGGGTTGGATAGACTGTCTAAAATGCTAATGGAATATAATCAAATCTAAACCCAGACAATTGTGACAGAGAAGATTAAATAATTTAATATTTAACTGTCTATATATATAAGGTACCATTGTATGGAAAAGGGTAAACTTAGTTCATGATCTGTCATATCAGAAATTATGGCAGGAATTGCAGACGCTAAGTCTGGACAAAATTTAAGAAACCCTTTGAAATTTTAAATTATGGCGCTATAAAGATAACGCAAAATGACGTCAAAATAGCCACCAGGAAAAGTTAACTCTTTCCTGGATAGGTATGTTTAGTGGGACAAGACTGCCCTCTACAGACCAAATAACTAATTTGCGATCTGGAAGATAACCACACCTCTAGTGCTTCTATTGGGTTATCAACTGATGACGTACAGAGAGTCTGGCCCTTTAAAAGTTAAGACAAAGGGAAGATAGAGAAGACGAGAGGAGGCAGATGCAAGAGATGCAAAGGAGAGAAAAGAGAGGAATTGGAAGTTTGGGGACTCCAACCTCCATGCAGAGACACATCCAAATAAATTCCTGAGACTACCAATCGGATGAAATATCTACTCAACTGGTAATTATACTGGTTTCATTTAATTAAATTAAATTAATTAAAATGTATTAATAGCATTATATATGACTGGATAAAGCACGGTCAGATTTCCATATTAAGAAATCTTAGTTAACTAAGAATATATAGTTATAAACATTCCATTCTGCAGGTGGAATTAAGAATAATTATATATTGATGTGATATTATCACGTGTTAGCATACCGCTGTTTTTATCCAGGTGTATTGATTTGCTCTAAATTAAGATAGATATCTTTTAGACAAATTAAAATCTGCTTATATAATGTGGTAAATTCTCTTATTGGATGGGTTAAGAAAATGAATTTAAACTGGTTTAAATGTTATTTTATTTAAAAATTACATAAGAATAGATCTTAACTACCTAGGAGATCTAGCCAGCATTGAAAGGGTTATTCTAACTGTCTGCTAAACTTTACGACCTTACGCTGCACTCTGAGGAATTCTGTTCTCTGTGTGAAAAGTTTCACTTTCAGCCTGTGTTAAGGATACCTCATAAATCGTAGAAGTCTTGACAGATAATGAGTTAATAGCCATTGAAACGTAATACCCATTTCTTTGTATTGCATATAATTTTATACTGGATATTCATTGATTATTGTTATGCATGTTACATAATATTATTTGTTAATTATTGATTGTCATATAAATAAAATCTATTTTTATACATTGTGATATTAATTATATGAAATACATTCCACTTAACACGATAAACGTTCTTTGGGATCTGAGAATTGAATTAGTGGGCAATTCTCACTGTTACTATTATTATCCCATAAATATCCCCACAAGGCTGAGAGCGGGGATTCGTGCACTGTTGAAGCCGATCTCCGCTCCATGAGTATCAGGTCGAAATCCCGCTGTCCATTGACCAACCTCAAAACAGGGCCGCCATCAGGGTTGATACACCAAACTACCGAATAAGACTATCTATGGCAGAAAACCCCCCCGTTCTGTTCGTGGGAGCTGAGCGCCATTCGTATATTTGATGCGCCCAGGTATGAGCTGTCGAACGAACAGTCGAATTAACTATATTCCCCTTAATGTATTAAAGTTATGTATTTTTGTGCTGTTTTCTGGGACACAAGAAAGCATGGTCTTTTGGGCGCTTGGAGATAATTAGATTGTATAAACCGTTGGCCTCATTATCTCCAAGCTGGGCGGGTACTAGTTTGAATGATACACTGTATTGTGATTGGTTGAATACTTGTACTGTACCTGTATCCCATCAGGTCCATGGGGGGCTGACCCTGGACCTGGGGACTTGCATAAATTGCCATGCTTGTGTGCCAGTAAAGCCAGTTCGTTTTGACCCTCAACTCGCAGCCTCGACTCGTGTTGTAGGGATCCGGGGATACTAACGCTACTATAGCTAGTGGGACATTCTACCCTTGCAGGTTTCTACCGATTGAAGCGCTGTTCGACTCTCTGACTTCGGGAACCAGGACATCCAAGCGATCCAACCTCCTACTAGCCTGGAGGCAACCATAACATCTGCATTGAGTAATAGACTGTGTGGTGGGATCTTGCAGTGTCTCTGCTGTAGGGCCTGCAGGGGCACAGATTGTTTCTGAGCCAGTCTGCCTTAATCAGCTGACACCGGCTCTGAGGGTTTGGCAGGTGGGCCCGGAGCACTGGTAAGGAGGATATCTTAATGGGCTCCGTCTTTTAGGAGAGCTCTCTGTCTGCGTTTGTCCCTGGTGAGCAGCTGTGCTGTGTGCCAGTTAGCGTCACTGCTGTCAGCGTGAATCCTTGGATGCAGGGATGTGTAGCTGTGGTCGGAAGCTTTAAGTGCCGCTGAGCGGTAAGTGGGTCGAGCGTGCTTGGTGGTCCTGCACTGGCATGCGTGAGGGTTAGTGTTGGCGCCAGCGAGGCCTGTCACCTCCCTGGTCTCCCTCCTCGTTTCTGTCTGAGGGCCGCTCTGGGGGCTCAGGGTGTGTCCCCGCATAGGTAGCGCCAGGTGGCAGGGCGAATCCATGCCACTACTTCTTTCAGCACCTGCTTGTAGAGCCATCTTCTGGTGCTTAGCTTATTCCATAGGCTAGTGCTTAGCCAGTCGTAGAATTCTAACGTGTGAGCGGGTGGCATGGCCAGTAAACTGTTAGTTTCGAGTCGTGTCTGTGGCGCAATATAGCGTGAGCCCTGACTGCCATGAGTGCCATCAAGTGTTGTTCCTGACAATTTAGGAAAAGATGCAATTTTTTGCTTCCGAAGCACTACCAAGCCTCAATAAGCAAACCAGTAACCAACCTCATGCTGATGAGTTGCACTAACAACAAAACAGCTGTCCATGAGTGGTTCACTGGTTTTGCATCTTTTCCTAAATTGTGTTCCAAGCAGTTGTATACTGCAAACACAGATTAAAAGGAATCCATGTTTAAAATGGAATGAAGCAAACATTTGATTCTTTGTTAAACTAATTTGCATATGCCCACCCAGAATCCTTTGCAGTTGTAACATCACTGCAGATTTGGGATCTCTGTGGGAAAAGCAAGTCTTATGGCTTGGCTGGTGTGCAGATATTTGTTTAACATTGTATTAACTATCCACAGACTTCAGGTGGAAGGGGTTTTCAATTACATTTTTCCCCCACCATAACCTTTTTGGATTTTGCAATATATATATATAGAAGGCGTATGCCTGTAATTGTGGGAGGGATTTAGGCCTATTTAAACCCAAGGAACCCTCACTTACCTGTCTTCGTCGGTTCCGGAAATCCGTCTCCTCGCTTCCGGTGCGCGCAGACCTCTGACGTCACTTTCCCGCGTCGCTCAGAGAGTACGTCCAGCGTCTCAGTGAGAGCTCACGAACGGCTCCGTTCGGCGATTTACAACACAACTGTAAGTCCTCATAACTGTTCGTTAACCTGGTCGCATGGGGGTTTTCTACAGGGGGGGGTTGCCATTCGTTTTCCTTACAGCTATTGCATAACTGACATATATCTGATTCAGTCTACTGTTCATTGTTGTAAAAAGGGCATACCGATTACAATTTGTATCATCCTGTTTCTTTCTACCAAGAATATACGTGTATTTGTTCTCTTCTTAATGCTGTTATGTTACATACTTTATACGTGTCATATAAAACCATTTACATTTAATATGTGTACAAGGCATGTCATGCTGTCTATTAGCACATGCAGTATTGGAATCTTTCGAATCTAGAAATATGCTCTCCCAGTAAGCCTAATAGCCACCGTTGGCTGTTTTCATACTTCTACCCCTCCATTAATGAAAGCGTTAAACAAGGATTATGTATTGGGTAGAGATTAACAATACATCAGGTGCCGGAGAGGCATTGTTTTATGCTGACAATGAAATAGAAGCTTTGCTGATAGAATATAAGATTTCAGCGTTAATGGATAGGTTTCAGGACCTGCAGCCCCGTATGCAGAATTCAACCGAATGTCACTGGATATTATATGCAAATCTACAAGATAAAGCACTGTTGGGGAACCAATCTATCAATGAGATAATCTCCATGTTTTGGTATTTTGGTTTCACAGTAACACAAACCACATTATACCAATAAGATATGCTATAGATGTTGTCTTTCTACATACATGGCTGCTTTTTATATTACAGGTATGTGTTCTCAATGTTTGTTTATGCCCATGATCTGGTCACATCATACATTATCGTGCTAAAATAACATTTAAACTGAAGACCATATTCGGTTATACTAAACACTGTTTTGTGGCTATATGAGGGCAGACAGTACACTGGCATTACTCAGAGCTCAGTTCGCTTGCTCATTAATTCAATCATACAGCTACCCAGTTATTCATCTTACTACGAATTGGTATCACGTACGCTATTTATAAACAATTCTTTCCTTTCTAGGAATCCAATTTCGTCATTCAGTACTACCAATTTACGCAGGTTTTCACGTTCACGGTCCGGTTAGTAAAAAAAAAAAAAAAAAAAAAATTTCTTTTTTTTTATTAGCAAGTTCGCCTAGTTTACTCCTCCCATTTGTTTTGTTTTTTGCAATAGGTGATTCAGCTCGGGTAATAAAAAAAAAAAAAATATATAAAAATATACCACCCGACCATACAAACTCATTAGTACGACTCAAGTACGTACCAAGTTCACATACAGGTAAGGATAACGAACGTTTATTTATTTCTTTTTCGTACGTATCGTCCCTCGTAGTTTAGGTGGCTGGCTGTTAAGGTCATAGCAACCCAGTAGTGTTAAATATCATCCCGGCTCTCTCGCCTTAAAATAGTGGTCCCGCGAGGCCAACACCCATCCTCAATTCAGAGGTACTACGTCCCTCGGGCCAATCCATAGGTAGCCGCCTCGCACGTGGTATAGAGAGGGCCTCACCTGTCACTCCCATTCTATCTTATGACTACTACTCATCGAGAGGCCAACACCCCGCCACAACGTTCGGTGGCCACGAAATTCCCTCGCGCCAACTCATAGATAGAGCCTCTCAAGCCGCTTGGCACTTAGCAGGGCCTCACCAGTCACCGGCTTAGTGTAATTGCTTCGCCGCAGAGCGGCACTAGCTAGTCAGCCAGCACACTCATAAAAAAAAAAAAAAAAATTATTTCCTAACATAACATCTCTTTTCACGCCCATAGCATGTCTAACGATTCAGTTCAAGAAGAAGACCTGTCACTTGCCAGCACTCCCTCCAGACCTGGCAGTCAGCCAAGACAGTCCAGTACGATGTCCAACTACAGATCCTGGACTGTCCCAAAAATCACTGCTGAACTGAATAAAAGGAACATTCCTTTTCCGGCTACAGCCAGAAAAGCTGAAATTTTCCGCTTATTAAACTCGCAAGACATAGAGTTACCAGGCCCCAGTTCCGATGCTATGATCCAAAATAGCTTGTCAGAATTACGTAATATGATGACCTCCCTGGTGGCTTCAGTAGCTACCATAAATAACAGATTAGATAATCTGGAAACCTCTTGTCAAGCTAGCATTCCGGAAGTAC